AAAAAGCTATTTATATTTGTAGAGACAACCTTTGCTTGCCTCAACATTTCTGCTTTTTTTTTTTCTTTTTTCCTCCAGGGCACAATACAGAACTATGATAGCAACTGGAGGAGTCATAACAGGACTGGCTGCCTTAAAAAGGCAAGACTCTGCCAGATCTCAGCAACATGTAAATCTTGCTGGAGTACCAGTTCCTGAGGAGAAGAAACCAGTTAGACGCCGGCCCAGGACAGATGTAGTAATTGTCAGGGGCAAAATCCGTCTCTATTCTCCATCGGGATTCTTTCTTGTTTTGGGAGTGCTTATTGCATTCTTTGGAATTGCAATGGCCATCCTTGGCTACTGGCCCCAGAAGGAACAGCTGTTAGCATCTGAAGACAATCCATCTGTAAATGAAACCCGGACCTCGAGAAGCCAAGGGGGCATTTTACTTCGCTTCTTTGAACAGCACATGCACTCAGATAAGATGAAAATGCTGGGCCCTTTCACTATGGGCATTGGGATCTTCATTTTTATTTGTGCAAATGCCATTCTGCATGAAAACCGTGACAAAGAAACAAAAATAATACACATGAGAGACATATACTCCACTGTAATAGACATCCACACCCTGAAGATCAGGGAACAAAAGCAGCTGAGCGGTGCCTACACTGGCTTGTTGGGGGAAGGAGAGCTCCGGCACAGTGGGAGCTCCTGTGCGTCACGGCTGGCTGCGAACACGGTTGCGCCTTTCTCTGGCTTCAAGAGTAATCTCAGAATGGATAGTTCTGCTGAAGAAGATGAGATTACCCTAAATGAAGATAGGACCACCACTAGCCTCCTGCCACCTCTGCTGGCTGAGCAGTCTGGTTCAGTCTTTGGACTTTACCCTCACTCCAGCAAGGCTTCAGATGACAAAAGCACTAACTCTATAAAGTGTGAAACAAAATCCATTGTATCTTCTTCCATTAGTGCTTTCACACTTCCAGTAATTAAACTGAATAACTGTGTTATCGATGAACCCAGTATAGACAACATAACTGAGGACTCAGAGATCACCAGGGGTCAGTCTAGAAATCTGTCAATGGATTCTCTGGCCATTCCACTAGCTGATACCAATGAATCCTACAGACCGGCCGCCTCCATGCTGCCACGACACAATTCGTTTGTGGACACTCCATCCGATCCCTTCAAATCTTCCATGGCTCTCGGACCAAGCACAGGGAAGCTTTTATCTCCTGGTGCTGCCAGGAAGCAGTTTGGTTCCAACACATCTTTGCATCTTCTGTCTTCACATTCTAAGTCCCTGGACTTGGACAGGGGTCCATCTACGCTCACTGTCCAAGCTGAACAAAGGAAACACCCCAGCTGGCCCAGACTGGATCGGAGCAACAGTAAAGGCTATATGAAACTAGAAAACAAGGAGGACCCAATGGATAGGTTACTTGTGCCACAAGCAGCAGTCAAGAAAGACTTTACTAATAAGGAAAAGCTTCTTATGATATCAAGATCTCATAATAATTTGAGTTTTGAACATGATGAGTTTTTGAGTAACAACCTGAAGCGAGGAACTTCTGAAACAAGATTTTAATATTTAAATTGCAATTTAGAAGATGTAATATGGTATTTTTTAAAAAATGCATTTTGACAAGTGTTTCCTTTTCAGTGAGACTGTACGAGCCTGTTCTTAACCAAATGCTTAATAACTCATTAAAATTGGCTTGTGCAAACAGAGGTATTCATCTTTGTAATACCAAGTTTCTTGTCTTAGTAACAATCAGCTGCAATACTGTACATTATCATTGCTTGGACAGTTTTGTTATGACTTATTCCAATTATTTCCAAGTCACTATTTCTTTTGTTCTATATACGCATGTTACTTTTCACCAATTTGACTCCAAGAGACTGCATTAGGGAAAAAAAGCTCAATTTACCTGTAATTTCTCTTGAGTTAAAGACTGCAAGAGACTGAAAGCAGTGGTCTTGCGGTCTAGAATGGGAAGTGAGCAGGGACACGTACTGGAATTGTCAAATCCAGGCCTTTATTCCTAGGTGTTGTCTTTCACATGCAGTACATCTCAGTAACTGCAGTCTTGCCATTGTCATTGTGAGAAACTTGTTTACATACTGGGGTGGGTGGATAGAAAAGAGTGGATATAATAAAACCATTTTTGTGAATTCACTGTAATTGATCAAGCTGAATTCCAGTGTTGTGAATTATTAACTATGCTTTGTACAGTAATCTTTCTACATCCATTGTAATTTAATCCTGTAATTCTGGAAGAGCATATATAAAGTAAGAAATGTGAAATTTTTTTCTGGGATTAAGTCTCTGAACTACTTTGATTGACAGTTTTAAAATCAAAATAGAAAGATTTAATTAAAATCTTAGGAAGATTATGAATGCCAACAGGATTTTAGAAATATGGTGTATAATAAGATGATACTGTTAACTTGCATCTGAAGACAATAATGGAGAATGAATATATTGCCTCTCATTACAATAACAAGATGCTAAATAACTAGATCTCTATGTTCAAAATACTGATACAAAGCATACAATTCAATATACTAACATAGTATGAAAGCCCCTTGCCTAAATTTTGATTTATATATTTCACGTAGTAATTGATGTGATGGTTTACCGAAGGCTTAGCTGTGTCAATTTGCATTACAAGATTTTGCAAAAGGAGCTGACTTTTGAAACAATGTTTTTCTCAGCAAAACAAGCTTCACAGTTGACAGTTGTAGGCTATTGCTAAAGAAAAGGAGAATTGGGATGTGCGTATCAGAAGGTTTTAATGTCTGTCATTGCTGTTTAGGCCATGATCCTGCCATTACAGCCACGCTAGAGAACGTCCCTTCAAAGCTGCAAGGCTCACCCAACAGGATGTTGGTCGTAATTGGTTGAATTTGATATATTCACTTACTCTGAATACTCAGGAATTATTTTTAATGGCTTTTCCCAAAAAGAATCAAGCTTGTTAAAATGTTGTAATTTCTCAATTACTTAGATTATGAAAGATGGAGGATAAAATACAGTCTCTTTTTTTCTTTTTTTTTTTTTTTAAAATTTAATATTTGGCTCCGTATTTCAACTGTGCAATGTTTATGTACCAGGAGCGTTACTTGCTCAGTGATTTGAGGCATAGTGTTAACTGTTAGAACCTCAAGACTATATATTGTAACAGAGTTGGCTAAATATTTTGCTATGAAGCTTTTAATAACTCACTGGTTTGTGTTCTTAAGACATTTGCTATTTTTTGCAATAAAATGTCTCTCTACACATATCCATTGTAAGAACTGATTTTTCCTCTATGATCTCCAGTCTTACATATCAAAGTATAATTGTGTATAATAACACTGCACACAACATTGTGCCTAAATACTTAGCCCACCACAAGATATTTCTTCGGGACTAATTGATTTCAGTGACATGTCTACACTTGGAAAGGCTGAATACTTTTTTTACCCATTAAATGTGAAATGTATTCAAAGTGGTTTTGCTACAAGAAACTTTGTATAAAAAAAAACGTCCTGGTCTTTTTATTTGGCAGTAAGTATTATTATAAAAATGGAAAACACTATTAAAGACATAAGTGATGTAAGCTTTTTATTTCCTTAATAGCTACATTAAATCACAGCTTAAAAGACTTCACATACTATCATATGTATATGGTAACTGGAATGGTAGTTCCTTTGTAAATATAGCAGGGGATGAGCTTTTAATTTTAACACAGATAATAAATACTGAAAAACATACTCACTTGGGAAAAATTTACCAAGATAAAGCTATCAAAATAGCAGCATATAAAGTAACTTCATGGTTGACAGACCTACTACAAAAATATTCCCATATTAACATAAAATGAAGTATTTCATTCAGGTAATCACTGGACTGTTGAGTTTGAAAGGGACCTGTGGAGGTCATCTTGTCCACCCCACTTCCTGCTCAAGCAGAGCTGTCTCACAACGTAGACCTGGTTGCCCAGGACTGTGCCAAGATGGTTTTGCATAGCCCCAAGGAGAGAGACCTCACAATGTCCCTTTGTGACCTGTGCCAATGCTTGGTCACCCTCACAGGAAAAGAGGCTATCTAATGGTCATAGGCTCCCTCCAGTGTTTCACTTTGTGCCCATTGTCCCTTGTCCTGACTCTTTCCAGAGCCTGGCTCCTTTTCTGTATCTCCTGTTTATACACTGTGACAAGATCTCCTGAGCCCTCTCTAGGCTAGACAGTCCCAGCTGGTTCAGCCATTCCTCATAAGTCCCTTCATTGTCTTTGTGGCCCTTCACACAACCAGCTCTGGTATGTCCACGCCTTTCTTCTGAGGGGACCAGAACTGGACCCAACATTCCAGATGTGGCCACAGCAGTGCTGTGTATGGGGGAAGGATCACCTCCCTTCAGGGTTCATGTAGGACACTGCATAGTTTCATATTCCTTAGGTAGTTCCAACTTGAGCTCAGGTTGAGAAAACTTGTGGATGTTCAAGAGGCCTGAACATAGACAGAACTCAGAAACTGCAGTAGAGCAAAGATGTCTGGACCCTTTGCAATACACAGGGGTATACAGGAACCTTACAGTGGCCAAAATGGGAGCCATGTTCTGTTGGCAAGGAACTGATAAAGACAAAAGCATGTCTTAAATTTTATATTTAGGCTATAATTATCTTATTCAGTTTCTGATACAGTTCACAGACCTTTTTATAATTTGATTTCCATTATTGATGTGCAGCCCCACAATGAGTTTCTCAGATACATTGCAGGGTGAAAAAGAAGCCAAAGTCAGGACAGTTTTGTCATCAGAGGGAGCAATTGTGGAGCTACACCATAAACTTTTTCCTATCATAAGCAGCTAAACCTTATATCTATTCAGAGGACACGTTATGGTTCTGCATCCTTTATATGTAGTAACTCCAAAAAATAAAAAATCATTTAGATCATACAAACAATGAGTTTTCTCCTTTCTCTACCTAAGACTATTTAAAAAATGTAATTTCTGCTCCTTCTTAATAACTACCTGTGGATCAGACTGATGGTTAGGTCTGTCCCTCCTAAAAAAGCACAAATTTTTGGGCAAGTTTATCAGGAAAGAAAGAGCCGCTATCTACAATGATAGGGTTACAATGCTGGGTTACAACCTCTTCCAGAATTGCTTCTGTATTTTACATGAAATGGTTGCTGGATAAAATCCTTGAAACTGGTCTTGAGTTCTTGACAGGTTGATACTTTAACTACTCCCTGGTGATTCCAGTTTACTCTCCTTGGGAGGCAACGAACAAAAGCCTTCCTTGCAGAGCAGTACCCAGTTCAGCAGGAGGGACTGACAAATGCTTTCAGCTGCTCAATTGTACATGGCTTAATGGATGGGAAGATGTGAGTTTTCTTACCACCAGAAGCCTTTTGGCACAGTGCTACTCATCCTGATGGCTGTCCTAGGGCTGGAGCTGTGTAAAGGATGGAAAGGTGAGCTGGCACCATCAGTATGGTTTTGGAAGAAAATGGAATTTTATTTTCTTAACTGAGCAGAATTCTTGAGGTTGCTAGGTTTGGAGGTAGACATCTACAACTGTCCTTCCTCACATTACCCAAACAAAATTTTTTTGCAACTATATCATAATGCCTTTCTCAGAATATAGGTTTGATTTTGCTCATTCTTAAAATGCAGCATAGCTGGTCCTTTCTACAGAGAGAAATTTGGGAAATAAGATTAACCAGCAGCAGCAGCTTCTCTCTGAAAAGAGTTTCATGCTGCTTGTTCCTGGCTCACTTTAGTCTTATAATTTTAAATTATTTCTTTATATGAGCTTTTTTTCTAATCCTTTCCAGGAAATTTCACCTTCATCTTCCCAGCACTCTTTTTTTTCTTTTTTTTTTTTTTTTTTTTGTTAATTTCCCTACCAAATATGGTGCTGTGATGAGCAAGTATAAATCTTTTAGCAAGACTGTGCATGTGCATATGAGAGTGCACATGGAATAAATAGCCTATTACAATGTAGGAGTGCTTCAATTAGTATGATTTTACTACTCAAGGGCAAGTTCATGTCCTTTGTCTAAATCTCTTCAAATTAAACTCAGGAGCAAATTGATTGCAGTTATCACAGTTGTTCTGTTTAAATTTCAAGTGACACTTATTAATTGCTCCATCCATATTCTATGTATGGCCGTATTGGTTTGTATTTCAGGGTTCAGTATCTGAAATAAACCTCAAGTATTTTACACATTCAGTAAAGCCCATTTCTTTATAGTATTACCTATCTGAGTAACAGTTGGCAGAATTACAGCCCTAAGTCTCATTAGGAATGGAAACAGGATAGTTAGAATAATTTTATTTTAGACTAGTGTGGCCAGCAGGGCAAGGGAGGGAATTCTGACCCTTTGCTCTGCTCTGGTGAGACCCCACCTGCAGTGCTGTATCCAGCTCTGGGGTCCCAGCACAGGAAGGATATTGATCTCTTAGAGAGAGAGTTCAGAGGAGGCCACCAAGTTGATCAAAGGGCTAGAGCATCTTTGCTATGAGGAAAGGCTGAGAGAATTGGGATTATTCAGCCTGGAAAAGAGAAGGCTTCAGGGTGACCTAATTGTGGATTTCTAGTACCTGAAGGGAGCCTACAAGAAAGATGGGGCAAGACTATTTATGAAAGCACATAGTGACAGGAGAAGGGGACACATGTTCAAATTGAAAGTGAGTAGGCTTGAATTGGGTATTAGGAAAAAATGTTTACTGTGAGGATGGTGAGGCACTGGAGTGGGTTGCCAGGAGAAGTTATGGATGCCTTATTACTGGAGATGTTCAAGGTCTGGTTGGATGGGGCTCTGAGAAATGTGGCGAGTTGAAGATGTCCCTGCCCGTGGCACAGGGTTTGAAACTAGATGATCTTCAAGGTCCCCCTCCAAAAAAACCCCCAAAACAACAAAAACAAACAAACAAACAACTCACTATATTGAATAAACAACCTGTATGTCTAATCTGTTGTGTTGGTTCTAATTCAGGTAGATAATGCTTTAGAGGAGAGTAGTTTACAACCACTGTGAATTGTCCATATGAAGAAACATAAAGCCATTGTTTCCCCTTACCAGCTTTTATTCCAGCTAATGTAATTATTCAGGATAGCATCCACAGAAACATCTAATCCATTTATGAATTCCACTAAGCTTTTCAGTTCACTGATAGAATTTTGTAAATTACTGCAGATTGATTATGAATTGCCAGTAAATATATTTCCTTTATCATTTGGCAATTCTTACCATCACTGTTATTTCATTGTAACAGCCAATGGTTCCACTATTAAAAAAAATAGTTCCAGGAATAATCTCATATCCTGTGTAAATATATTGACATTTCTGGGGGTTTGTTTTTCATATTTTTAAAGAAATTAATCACTTAATTGTTTAGAGGTATCCTGTGATTCACCATACAACTGGTTTAGTACTAGGATCTTTTTGTTCTCAGAATAGGTTCCTACTTTGTAGGCAACACTGTATGCTTTTGGCAAAGCAAATGGTGTTGGCCTCTGAATTACATGTTTTTTTCACTTTTATTATTATATTCCATTTCCTTCCAGCCTGTTGGACAATTCAGTTTTCCCTCTGCTCTCTTTTATATTGATGACACTTACCTACTCAGTCAGTGCAGCCCAGCAGGAGTAGATCTGTGCTTGTTGGGCTCACCGTCCCTCCTGGTTGCATTTTAGAGACTTTGCTTGACTAACTCACGCTTGGGCTGGTTGGACTGAACATCCTTTGATGACTTGAATATGTTATGGGCTTCTGGAGGACAACTCCTCATTTATTTGCCTCTGGAGGGAGTCCAGTGTGTGCTGTGAGATTGCTGTTTGGGATGAATTGAAGAGTGGTACACAAGGCCAGCTTGGAGATTTTTTCCAAAGGAACACTACCAACCTGGAAGAAACATTTTGCTCAGCCACACCCTCAGTGACTTCCAAGAATTGCATCAGTACAAATACACATTTTCCATAGATGTGGTAATATTAGTTTCATGTCATCCTTTAAAAACCTCACTGATTATCTCCCTGAAGCCTTGTACATCATCTACCAGCCCAATCAGCCAACTCCTCATTTGATACTCAGCATATTTTTCATCCAAATTCCCTTTTCCTCCTTGGGTAATGATTTCACATGTGCTACGGTATGAAATGCTTTGCTTAAATCAGAGGAGATGAGCTCTACTGCATGTTTTGTCCAGAAAATTACTATTTCAAAAAGAGATACCAGTTCAGTGTGGCACATCTACTCTACATCTGGCCCTACTTCCTATTTTCATTCTTGTCTTTAGTGCCTTGATTTTTAATTTTTCTGAAGCCTTCCATATGACCTGTATCTGACTGATCTGCAAGTGGACAGATAACTTCTCCTTCTTTTCTGCAATTTCATAAATAAATACATTTAAAGGATTACTACTTTTAGCATTCATTGCCTTACCTCTGTCAGGTCAGTTGACTTACTTAAATCCCTTGCTACAATGTGTTTCATGTTCTGATTTCTTCTGTCTGCTGTATTGGAGAACATGTGCCCTCACACTGTGAGAGTATTCAGGGCTTGAATTTAGGTTTCTCATAGGTGAGGAGTTTCATAGCCTCCATTTTCACAGTTTCTTTCTTCCATTTTCCACACTTTGCTATCTCCCATTTCCAGATTTTTTTTTCCTGCTGGTGACTTTTCTTTGCCATTTCTAATACAGTTACCCCAGTATTGAAGAAATGAGAAAGAGTAATCACTTAGCATTAAGGCTTAATCTGGAACAAACCTGTCACTTCTAGTGGTTTTGAGGCAAGGGTTGTCTAATTTTAAAATGAGTAAAAGGATGGCTGAACATGGCACTTCAGGCTTTGCACTGTGTTCCCACACTGCTCTGTAACATGTATTTCCCCACTGTATTTCCTCATATGAGGTGTCAGTATTTTATTTCATTTTGGTGACACTGTCATTAATCCATCTTGGTCTGGAGTTATTTCCAGAAGCTTTGTACAGTTGAGGTGTACATTTCTGTGCTGCTGATTTAAAAAGAGGTCTGTCTTACCTGAGACCCAAATGATCAGCCTGGCTGACTTCAATAACTAATTTTCTTCTAAAACTGTCAAAATTTGTTCAAAAGAGAACAACAGTTAACAACTTGAAGTCCCACTGTAATTTACCCTTTTTGTTTGAAGTTAATTGGATCAGCTCATGAGCACTTGAGTTTCTAGGAGCATCTTGTCTACAGCACACACAGTGCTTAGCAAGAGCCAGTTGGTATTTGCTACACTGATTGTTTGTGGTAGAGATTTTTGGCTCTTGTACCTGGGGGTATCTCTGCTCACTTGTCACAAATACCATTTGCTCACAGTCTTTTTTTTTTTTTCTGGGAAATGAAGTTTTATACAAAGTGAAGGTAAAAATTTTAGGTAAAGACAAGATTTAATAATATGATCTGCTTTTTTTAATTCAGTCACCACAGGAAAAAATATTCCTGTTCTTTCTACCTGCTTATCTTGAGTGTCTGGAGGTTTAAAATATTTGTCCAATGTAATTCTGAAAACAGTGAGCCAGAACTGCTATCCAAGAGATATGAGAATGAGAATATAATGTTACTATGGGGACTCAAAGGAATATAATATTTTCAGTAATAAATTTTTCAGAAATAATTTTAAATTTAGTCCTGTTTTATTCCACCTTAAAGGAATGTTGTTCCAATTATTGTTGTGATTACAGTCTTGCTGCAATCACTAGTTTTTCAATGTTCTTCATTGATTCAGATAAAAATGGTTGAATGAAAAATATGAAGATCATCTTCTGTCACACAGAGGGTACAATAATTAAACTCATCTAGCACCCATAGAGAATTCATTACCATTTTAACATCAGGAAATACTCTGATATATGATGTGAGCATATTTTGTTACCTCCAGCACACAAGTGGTCTTTGTTATCTCTTTATGAGGATTAGGAAGATAATTAGATTTATAACATTATAACATGGCAGTACCCTTTGATTCTTGCATGGAGGGGTCAGATGAATACAATAGATTAGGAGGGGTTAGGAGTTAATAAAATGGACATTAGATTCTCATTAAACTATACTTTGTAAATCCATATGCCTTGTAACTAACACTGAAATGGAGGGCTCTTGCTTATTGTCACAGAAAACAGTTCTGATTATTCTGCTAAGGAAGACACTGCACCTGTTTCTTTTCTACTGAATTTTTGAATGTGTGCTTTTATTCTTACGGCATTGTTACCTATCCCACTGTTATCTAAGACTGACAGTTTTTTGCAAGGTTTTTCATGCTTTATCTTAATACCTCATTTTGCTCTGCACTTTCCTTTTGCAGGTAGGACAGGTTAGGGCATTTCTGGAAGTCATTAACAACTCTCTGATATTTACAGTTTCACCTATATCCCAGACTGCCAGGAGACAGATGGGCCTCAACTGATTGTGCAACTCGCCTCTCTTCGTAGTATCACAGTGACTCAGATGAATTGTGATTTTGGACATCACTAATGGACTAATGGCTTTTAGAAACATAACAGGCTGCAGCTTCTAATATCTGTTCTGGTAATGAAGCCCTGTGAATCCTAGAATACCTCTCTGTGATTTTCTGTCTGTATTTACTCTTGTCATCTTTCAAGCATCCAGTGTCTTGGTGATTGTCTGTGAATGAACACACCATTTGCAGAAATCAAAATCTCTTCCTGAAAAGAGAAGCAAGCCAAAAGTTTTCTTCATATGTATTATTGGTAAGCCATTTATTCAGCTTCTATTCTGTTGCTAAAGGTAGGCTTGGGTGCTTTTTAATGACTGTGTGTTTATAATAGTTACTTTCTCCTCAGAGATCTGCAGATCTTAATTAGCTTGTGTTATAAGCAGCTTTCCAGACCTAAGGCAGATGGAAAAAATTGTTTCCCTGAGCCCTTCTATGTCTTACTGACTTCCAGAACATATTGAAAGGTTCATTTTTGTAAATTAAATTGTTTAATTTGAATCATGTGCTAGATCATATATGCATAGGAATTTACAGACATTGTCATATATGTGTATATATATATGTATATACACACAATGTTTGCATTTTGTATTATTAGGTCTGAAAGCTGATCTACTTCAGGATATTTTGCTTTTGTTGCTCATCAAAGCAAAACAGCAGGGTTCTAAGGGAGTGGGGAGAGGAAGATATGTGTGTCCAAAATGATGGGCTGCCTTTATTTGTTCCTGCCTCAGTGGAAGTAGGCACAATATAAATCATTAAAGCAGAAACTCATAAAGTGTGAAATTTATTAATGAGATTAAAGAACCGCAAAAGGAGTCTAATATCCTAAGTCTGAGTCTTGGACTGTGCAGCCTAAAATATTACCAAAAAGAGTCTTGAAGAATGCAGGCTACTATGTTATTAAATTCTCTGACTTTTAAAAACAAGATGACATCTCTGATTTTATCATTTTTGAAGAACCCCAGAAAAATTAAAAGGTTAGTGCATTGAATCAGGAAGAGATCTGCTGCTGTGAACAGACTTGGAAAGTCCATTGGAAACATATTTCTGTTCTTATCACACACTGTTGCAGATGGAGTGAAGCCCTTTCCTGATGTGGGGGCGTATGTAAGCAGAGGGCAAGTAAGTAGCAATATGTTAATTGATATAAACCAGTGATTTAACAAAGTTTGATAGTAAAGGTGACCATGGTTTAAAAAAAAAATTGTGGTGAGGTACATTTGATTATTTACTGCAGAGACAGGGTCAGGCAAAACTGTCAAGGAGACCCTCCTGATGAGTTCATACAGGGCCCCTTTGTCTTCTAAACTCCTTCTCAGAGGGACATTTTGGTACAGCTAGATCCAAAATTGGTCAACAGTTTATGTCTAAAGGATTATATGTACGCAACCAGTCCTTTTGTATCACCTTAGCTAATATTTCAAAGAAGATTGGCATTTCTTACCAAGAATCTGTTGTGGCAAAGAATCTCTCAACCTCAAGAAGTAACCTGGAGAGGAATCCCTACTCACAGGGAGATCTTGGTGTGCAGCCATACAGGAGAGCTCAACAGGCCCTAGGATGTCCTCTCTTCTCTGTTTATGGAGTAAGATGACTGACCTCCAGTTGTATTTGCATGCCAGCAAGATATCTGGGTCACTGCTCCAGACAGTCCCTGTCTGCCATCCATCCCTGAAGTTCAGAGGAAGCTGCATGCTTACTCACACTCATAACCGTGGTTATGGCACAAGCAAACCAGCACACACATTATTAACAAAAAGCAGAAAAAACCCTATGAAGCCATGACCTCCCAAATATGTGATATAAAACATCATTAAGATACATGTTTCCAAATTGTCCATGCAACAAGAAATCACTCTTGACATCCTGGAACTCAAACCTGTGTGCTGGTGGGAATGGGCCACCAGACTCCCCAACACAGTTCTGCAGCCTCTTTGAGTCAAATCTCTGAGAGATCAGTGGCTGAGACTCCTTACAGAGTGGATGTTTATCAGCATAAGCAATAAATTCCATGCAATCACACTAGTTTCCCTTCTTCCTTTCCTTGACATCAGGAGTACCTGTCACAGTAAAGAAGCACTGTAACTTTTCAGATGTGTTGATACCAGTCTTAGCAAGCATATGTAGGTGTTGGCAGCTTGAAAGGCATTTAAGTGCAGTATAAGAAAATAATGCTTTGCAAAATAAAAGCTAGAATTTATTTAAAAGATAGCCACATAAGCTTCAGGCATAATCCTTGCTTTTCAAATGCAGATGAAATGTATCTCATAGGGATAAGGTATAAGCTTCAGCAGAGACAGGACAGGTATGAGGCTTGCAAAGCTTCATGATTGGGTACACTGGCCTGGATCATGGTTATAAACTTGGTTTGGGAAAAAGAAGACTGCTTTTCACTGAACCAAACAAATAATTTTTTAGCCATAAATAACCTTATTTGCAAGAATATATTTCACATTTTCTTTTGATGATATCAACACTTAAAAGTACTTTCACCCAGGTGCCAGGATAAGCAATGTGCGAGCACTCCTGGCAAACACAAGCAGAGATCGTGTAGCCCAGCTGACAGTAATTTTCCAGTTAATACCTACAGAAAAGAAAATCTGCCTTGCATTCAGGTTAGATTTCTTTACGTTATCTATCTGAGAAAAGATTTTGTATTTAATAAAATATAGATTCAGAGTAAGGAAACATGCAGTGAGAGACAGAAAGGATTTGTGTTACTTAAAACCTGAGCACAGTGATATGTAAAGAGAACACTGGCTTTCTTGAAGGGGAAAATTCAATTTGCTGAAGCTGATGGATCCTCTTCAGATCACCCAGGCTAAGTACTATAACAAGGATGATGGATCATTTCTAGGTGTTCAGAAAACTCAGCCATAACCTGCAAAAATGTTTAGCTGAATTTTGTCCTAAGGAGCCGAGGGCCTGGTTTAGTGAAGTGCTTTGCTTTTATTGCCTACAGATTACTTTCTTTCTGAATGTGTGTCTGCAAGGATAAAGATGTAAGCTGTAAGTCACTTTAAAGCTGCAGACATTTGAAGGATAAACATGGTTGTGTTGTCATTGACTTTCCTCATTTTTCCCCTTAAGATAGTGTAGTCTTTTGTCTTACATTTTCAAGGCTGTAGAGGCAAATGATGGCACAGGGGAGTAAAAGTTATATAACTTTTAAAACTGGCTTCTATGTGAGGAAACTCTGCCACAGAACTTATAGAAATTGAATGAAAATGGTTTTGAAAGACTTAAGCTACTTGTCAAAAACCACACTCTTGAATGAATTCTGAGTAAGTTGGGTATAGTGGAAAGACAAAAATATCACCATCTGACAGAGCTAACAACAGCCCATTTTGGAGAATGGATAAACTATATGGACAAGGATTTTTCTCATATTTGTTCTAACAGAACCTGTTGCAGAAATGTCTTTGCTCCCTCCTTCCTGCATACAAGTGCTAGAAACATGTTTCTTTTAAAATTTTTGGTGCTGGCCAGAAGAGCTAAAATGGCAGTATCTCTTCATAAAGGGGTTGGCTTCTCCATATCTGTTCATAATTTAGCATTTGCTGTATCTAAAAGAAAGTACTCCCAGAATATAAATCCAGCTGAAATGACTTGTTTTAGTGCCTCTCTAGTAGTAAGAAAAAAAAAACTAATAACTAAAGTTAGTGGAAATGTGAGTCTGAGATGCAAGATTCTAAAACAGATTGAAGACCCTTTAGTTATTTAATACATGCATCTAAATTGTAAGGGTATTTTTTTATTATTATTCTAGGAACATCGGGTACACTGGGAACTATACAAAGGTGCAAGAAACTTCAATATCTGTGTTTTGTATAATGACATTTACATCAGTATTGGGTACAGGTCTTCATGCAGTCAGCTGTATCTCCTGCAAATCCAGAAGCTGATAATACAACTGATTAATCTATCTTAAAATGACATTTATTTTCCAGTAGAATTGCAGAAAATGTCAGTTTCTGGACTTCTGCCTAATGACATGGGAAAGGCTGAACAGTATCAGAAAAGGCAATACCAACAGGACTAGAAGAAGGCAGACCCTGAAACTATAATAAAGCTTCCACTTAATCTTGTCTCTGTCTGAATCAGCATAGTTCAATTAACAATAAATTCCTTAAGGATTCTTTTGTTACTCAAGGCTGTGGGTATCATATTAAAGCTCAGAATGTAGTACATGCCTTTTTCAGTGTGAAAGAACCATCTGTTTTTTCTCCTACTCAAGTAATACTGACAAAGGACATATATAACTGCTGCAATGTTATCTCAAATGAAAACAACATTTGCTTTCTCCAAGGAACATAAATAACATATTGAAAAGTATATGAACATCCACAGCATATATGTGGCTGGATATAGCAGAATTTAATTAGTTAACAAGATTTCAATGTTCTATTGGTCAGAATTGGGGTTTATATTTATTTTTCTCTTAGCCCTGTCACCTTTCTGTGCTTCCCACCACTGTGAAAAGTTGGCTTTAACAGATAAGAAAATGAGAGTGAAACATTTGCCCAGCAGATTGTCTAAATCCTTCCTGTTTCAGACACTTGACATTCCAATTTTTTGTGCTTAAATTAACTGTCTTTTCCTTCTGACTCTGTCCATCATTTTCAAACTGTGGATGTTTTCAGTAGGAGCAGCAGCATCCTTAGTTGCTCATGGGGAAGGAAGGATTTAAGAGCTACTTAAGGCAATGCAACAATATCAGGGGCATGGCATCAAACTCAGAGCAGTGGGTCTGGCACACTTCTTGCAGTAAAGCTTTTTCATTGCAAGAATGGCTGAGTTAATTTATTTTCCATGTCATTCTACCTCTGTTCCAGAATCTATGCTTATCCTTCATAGCCTGCATCTTACAGTAGTGATACCACAAGCCTCAGGCTGCAGATATCCTTGTAAAAGTGCCAGCAAATACAATGCATGCTTGAAAACATACTAGTTCCTGTTAAAGAACTCTTCATAGAATCCCAAATATAAGTTGTGTTTGCTTTTGGAGGAATGAGTGTAGGAAGAAGTTTGGCTTTGTGGCACTTCTAGAAAGTTAAACAAAATTGTTTCTGTAGGGTTCATAGAATTGTATTACTATGAGCACTCATAAACTTAAGAGCTGATGCTCTTGGCAATATTTCTAAAGAAATGACAAAAAAAACCCCAAAACATCTTATGTTTAAACAACAGGACAATGCTCACATTTTATATTAAAAGGACAGAAGTCTCTTCAGTTAATTTTCTCCCATTTTCCTTGGTTTAAATGTTGTATGTGAGATGGAAAATGATCTGCTCGGTGTTTAGGCCCTTTACAGACACCTCCCTGGCACTGTCTGACTTCCTGAAAGAAAAACCCAACTCACAACTTGGTAATACTTACGAGGAAGGTGGCTGCAGAACAGTTTCTCTTCTCCAGGGGAAGGCTTGGCAGTTCAGGGCAGGGTCTAGAATCTGACTTCAATTTTAATTATCAAGCCTTGATTACAAGTATAAAATAGATTGAACACATAAAAAAGAACTAAAAAATCACAGGATTGTTTGGAGTGTGACCACAGCTCTGGATATATACCAAGATGCAGAAGGAGGCTGGTCCCTTCAGTAGTGGGTTTCCTGTTGGGTGGAATCATCCTTGCTTCCTCCTAATGCAATGTATTTATTCTTCTTCATGCCTTTGATGAAAATAAGACAATAGTGAAATATTGAATAAGAGTGAAAGTAAAAGAAGTGTTAAAATATCAAAATGGAGTAACTGGAAAGTAGAAGTTTTTGTGAAATGCTTATTTTGAAAGAGAAAAGAATGGAGGTGAATTTCTGGGTTTAGCTCCATGCAAAGCTATTAAATAAAGGGATACTTAAAAAAATATATGTTTTGCTTCTCTTTCCTTTTTTGCCTGGGCACAGAAGCTTCCCTACTCTGGTCTCTCACATCCTCTTCATTCAGCCAGGTTCAATACACATTTTTCTATAAATGTCACAGCAGGTAACAAATGGCGCTGGACACGAAGCTCTGCAGCATCCAGCCAAGGAGTGAGACACTTGTTCTATGGTGAGATTGCCAGGGAAAATGGAGGGGAAATTGCCAGACAGGATCAGAAGTATCTGGGAAAATGAGCAGACTGACCAATTGCAGAAAACGTCAATTTCCCCCCCGCCTTCTGTCTCATGGAACGGAGACAAAAAGGAAGGCAGGATAGTTCCTCCTCCCAGTCCTTGTAACCCAGAAGCTTGGTGACAAACATCAGGGATAACTACTCTGTGAAGAACTACATCTCTCCCACCGAACTACATCTCTCCCACCCAGTGAGCCTGGGGAATCAGCAAAGATACTACAGACTACTGCAGAAGCTTAGCCTGAAAAAAATCAGCATCAGGAGATGATTTCAAGTCTAGAGATAGCAGATGTGCCTGAGGTCTTGGCTGCCCTAGATTACGGGCCAGGTAGGAGTCTGGTGACAAGAAACTGGACAGATTGCTGAGCAAGCAAGAAAGCTGTCAGAGGAGTGACTCTCCATGGGAGGGGAACAAGCTGGCCCAGAAGAGAGCTAAAGGGGGTCTCTCAAAGACAGTGACCCAGTAGTGAGCTGGAAATTGTGTATTTTGGGAAGTGGGGGGTCAAGGACTGCTGGAAAGAGTCCTGGAAAGCAGTAGGTGCCAAAGAACTGTCTGCTGTAACCACATTGCCAATTGTCATGGTTTGATTGCAA